ACACACACACACACACACACACACACACACACACGCACACGCACGCACACACACAGATGACATAAACATCTCTAACACATGGTCTCTTCAGCAAACACAGCCCAGACAATGAAGCAAAGAGGAGAGGGGTGCTGCTGAATAAACTGAGCGCAGCAGCATCTTTAGTCCCTGCTGATGCACATGGTTTCACCCCCCCGCCTCCCTTCCCTCCTGTGGTACAGTCCAGATGGATGTCAGTGGCTTTTAAATGAGGAAGATGAGCTCCAGAGGCAGCTAGTGCAGCGACAGCTGGCCTGAACCAGGAGGCAGACAGAGCAGAGGGGGAAAGTGAGGGAGGTGGGAGTTCATGGATCTGCCGGACCTGCTCTCTGTATGTATGACAGGGACAGATTAAGGATGACAGAAGACATGACTGTTTGATTCTGTGAGTGGACTGGTCTGAGACATGTATGTTTGTAGGAGTGTGTTTAACTTTTCACATGGAGTGTTTCTTCCCCATTTCTCTGCTTTCTGCCCTGCCTTCCATCGTGTTCCAGCAGTCGCCATCCTGGGGCATTTACTGTTCGGCATGCTCCATCTCCCTGCCAGGACAGCGTCTCTTTCCCTCTCTGTCTGTCCTCCCTTGGCCCTTTAGCTGCTGGTTAACACAGGCTCTGAGGAGACAGGTACGCTCCACTACCCTCATCCATCATAAAAAAATCCCTAAATTATTCCTCTTCCCTCCGACCCAATCATTTAACGCTCCCTTCTGCCCGTCCCTTGACGGCTTCATCCAGGATGCCCCCGAACAGCAGAGTCTTTGGTGTGCGGAGGACACAGGGTGTTCATTGATTTTGCACCTCAAACTTGCTTTCTCATGCCTTTTGAGAGTGGTAGAAAAGATGCAACGGTGCACAAATAAGAAGCAGAATCAATATCTGCAACACCTGCTGCTGAGGCAGTGCTACAAAACAAAAGAGCATCCTGCCTTAGATTTTTAAACATTTATTATGAAGTTGAATGGTGCTGTGGATATGCATCTGTAGAGACAAAAAGAAACTCTGAGGATTAAAATCTTACAATGATTTTTCCCCTTTCAGCAGCCTGAGCTGCTATAAGAACATAAGGCTTTCACTGAGAGACTGTGAGTCACAGAGGTCGTTTTTCTGAGCCGGGATCTTCTGTCAGTGGAAGCAGGAAGTCAGGGGTGGCTTGGTAGTTGAAACAGAGACATGAGATTAGAATGGGGTTAAACGGTGGGAAGATGTTGAACTTTGGGTCACAGTGGGATGTTAAAAATTACCTGTCAACAGAGGGTAAACTAAGATGAAATTTTTTGGTAGCTTCTTTGAGATGCATTTTGACTCTTGACCTCTGGTCTCATTTTGGCTTTTAGACTACAGAAAGCTTCCGCTCATACGTATATTTCATTTAAGTTAAGCTACGTTTTGTAGAAGTTTCTCTGTGATCTGACACTATTTAATCTCACTTTAAGGCTCAGTGGGAGTGCAGAGCAGCGATCTGTGAACAACTGTGCATTTCAGTGTCTTTTATGCAACATGTTGCAGATCCTAAAAACCTCTTAAAATCAGTTTTGCTAATTTTGCATGAAGTCTCTGTGCTGCGCTCCTCTTACAACAATAAAACCTTCATCCGTACCAGATTAGGTGAAGCCCTGATGGTTTTATTTTCTGAGTGGTTTGCGCTCCAGCTGAGGGGATGAGTTGTTATATAACGATGGATGCTACGGATCCAAATATAGCAGCCATTAGGGGCTTAGCTTTGGGTCTGGAAGCCTTGGCTGGGCTCGGCCCTATTGTGGCCGATCATAGATGTTATTTGCTGCTGGTGGTCTCCTGCCCTTCACACCCGTGTCCACAGTCATCAGGATGATTTGAAATGCTCTGAACTGACAGCAGAGATAACAGCTTTTTACGCTGCACAGATGAGCATCTATCTGTGGCAAATAGACAGGAGGACAATTTAACATCACAGCTTGTGTCCTCTTTTATTCAACTCAGCCTTGCTTTGTATAGAGATGAGCTATTTTACTGTTTTATCTTTTGCATATATGTACTAACCAGAAACAAATGCAGCATTCAAACATATTAATTTGCAAAAGGTGATTTGCAAAAATAATAATAATAATAATAATAATTACCTCAACATTTTCGACTAACCTAGGGACTACAGGTGGAAATTAGCACCTAGAGCTATAACCTTATACGATTTGTGGTTAATGTATCCTGCATATTGTCCCTGTTTTAAATAAATAGTAAATCGTAATGTCTCAGAAGTTATTTTATTTCACCGGCGGTGCTCTGATTCAACTACATACTGCTATTAAAAGAAACTGGATTATTTGAAAGACTGAAGATCGCCCGCTTTCTTGAATGACATTTTAGGCTTTGTGTCAACCTGTCCATGCTCAGAGTATGTGATGGGGATGACTCTCAACTGCTACCAAACTACATTTTGACTTAATATCTGTAAAACAGACCAAATAATGGCAGGTTTTGTGATTGCTGAGGTTGTTTAGCTCTGGTGGCCATCTTGAATCAGATTGACAAAAATCATTCTGTCTTTTATTTAATAATTAACGTCCTTCCATTAATTCATGAGTTGTTTTGGGGGCGGCTGTGGAGCAGTGGTAGGGCAGCAGACTTGGGACCAGAAGGTCACAGATTTGATGCCATGCCCACATGTTGTGGTGTCCTTGGGCAAGACGCCRCTCCCCACTGCTCCACTTGGGTGTTTCTCATGTGTGATGGTTCAAAGGCAGAGCACAAATCCCATTGTATGGGAACATGCATTGATGACAAATGAAGTACAAAAACATATTTTGCTAACAGAGACATACATGCACATGCAAATATATATCATCCCTATGAAAGATAAGAAATAATAAATAAAAGTGGGTATAACTGTCAGTAGTTTATTCAATTTAAGCATACTCAGCTTTTACACAAGATTCATCAGAACTTGAAAGCAGAGTTGGATATTTGTTCACAGAAGTCTGTTTCCTTCAATGTTCTTCATAGTCTCAGATATAGTTTATGTTTTACTTTTCTGCCATGTGGTGCAGTCGAACTTGCCTTTGGGATTGAGTGGGATGTGTTGATTGGACGTGTCGAGCAGGACGTGAAAAAAAATGCGTGGTGAGTTGTACACCGTCCAATTATTTTACCATTATCTTTTTAACGAGCACTTCGSGGCTGAGGCTGAGTGGTTAAAAGCAGACTATGTCTACAGAAAAACTTTCAAATACATTTATAAATCAAAAGGAACAACTGATAAACAATCACCTTAAGGTATTCGAGGAATGTCTGACTCCTTGAAAGCAAAATATAATCTCACCAAGCATTTTTTAACGGATATTTTATTAGAGTTTTGTAAATTTCTGTTTAGTTCAGTTACATGCCATTCTCTGAATAGCTGTGTTAAACAAATCAARCTCCAGGTTTCACACTGTGAATCCTCTCTGACCTTCCTTCGAGTGTAGTCTATAAATACGTAGGGACATCAGCYCCACTGACACAATGAAATATTTAACATGATGAATATTTTAGTGACAGGGGCACAGTTTCAAAGTGAAGATTGATATCTGTCTAAAAAACGCAAGGAGAAAGGAAAACAATAGGGAAGGGCCTGTATATTCAACTATATTTCTGTTTCTTTCAGGCATTTTTTCCACACGTTGTTAAGAAGCTTGAACAAATTCATCGACAAGCGTCCATCTTTGGTTTTTTTTTTTTTTTGTTTGTTTGTTTTTTGTTTTTTAGGACCAGTTTTTCTCTCCTTGTTCATCCATGACAGCTGGATTGGTTCAAACTGGGGTCTTGGCAACAGTGGCTTAAATTAGCTTGTACTTGTGCTTTTCCTCCTGAGTGCTGTGTTGTGTTTAACGGCACAAACAGCCTCTGAGCTCGGGCCTCCTGCACTGTGAAAGAGCCACAAGAAGCTTCCCCATACTGTTAAGCCCCTGAGATATGTCACAGGAAACTAAATGTACTAATTAGATGCACCTAATTTGGTTGAGTGAGCTTGATCTGCTGATTCAGTCTCATCAAAGACTCTTTTTGTTTGATAAAATAAAAGGCTGCTTCTGGTTTTTTTTTTTTTTAACAAGCTCAAAAGGCTTGTTGATGACAAAACCGCCAGGCTTAAAAAGCTGTGACAAAGACAGCAGGGTGACGCACACAGACAAATGATTTGTCTGCAAATATGTATGGATGTCTGAGTGAGTGAAACATGCATGTWGAAAACTGATGTCTGTGTGAAGGTTAGGGTGTAGAGGATTTAAAGTGTCAGGCAGATAAAGTTACAAATATTTAATTGGGTGTCAAACCCTTGCATTGCTCTCAGTTTCACATTCCACACTTACAGATTTATTTTAAATTCTGTGGTTATTTGCTAGTGCAGTAGCAGCTAGCTGTAACACTTCTGTGCAAAGTTTCATTAAGTTTCTCCCGAGGTGATCACAATGTGAGCTAAAACTAGCATTTTGAGTTTTTACTGAAAGTGTATCTTTCCCTCTAACGTTCTCAGTTGAAGTGCGTAATCCTCGCCGCCTCCTCACTTCCCAGCATTCCTTACCCGGGATCCCAGTGGCCTTGAAACAATCCATTGACCTGCGCACCTCCATGGACGGAAAATACAAAGAGATAGCCGAGGTCAGAACTCAGGCGCCAAGCTTCAGTTCCTTTGGTTTCTTTTATTTAAGCTAACTTGTGGCTTTGCTTCTCGAAGGAGCTTTTCTCCCGCAGCCTTGCAGAGAGCGAGATGCGGAGCGCTCCCTATGAGTTTCCTGAGGACAGCCCCATCGAGCAGCTGGAGGAGAAGCGGCATCGGCTTGAGCGACAGATCAGCCAGGATGTCAAGTAAATACAAAGAAAAACAAAACGAAAAAGCAGCACAGATGATGTGTTGAGGTGTAAGGTGGTTAGAGTCCAAATAAAGAGCTCAAAGTGAGTTCAATGTTCTTCACCCTCCTCCAGGTTTGAACCTGACATCCTCCTGCGAGCCAAACAGGACTTTATGAAGACCGACAGCGCCACAGATCTTGAGTGAGCCACAGTGATCTTGTTATGAATATAATCTGATTTATAAGGCAGTTTTGTAACGTGTTTATTGATTTATTATTAGATTCATGAAAGAGCAGAGCCAAGCTCCAGACCAGCTGGACAGAGACTTGATTACTGAGAGTGAGTACCAGAGAGTCACTATTTCTGGAGAGGAGAAATGTGGGGTAAGTTAGAGTGGATTAAAGAAAACGAACTGCCCTTTCTCACAGTCAAAAAAAAAAACTATTTTTTTATGGATATATGTCATTGTTTTTTTGTACCATCTAGGTTCCATTCACAGACCTGTTGGATGCTGCCAAATGTGTGGTGAAGGCTCTGTTCATCAGGGAAAAGTACATGAGTCTGTCGCTGCAGAGCTTCTGCAGGACCACGGCCCGTTACCTGCAGGAGCTGAGCAAGAGGCCGTTGGATTTAGACATCTACGAGGAGGAGATCTCAGAGACATCAGACAACGCAGGTTGGCATACTTCTTTTTTTCTATTCTCAGCCTTAATTAGCCACATCAAGGTTTGATCAGATCTTTTGAAGTGCTGATCTGTGGAAAGGTTATGAAAAACAACAACAAAATTCTGGGAAAATCTTGAAAGGAACCAAAGCAGCTGATGCCCAAGATCCTAACATACCTCCTAATCTAAGCACAGGCAAAGAGCTATCTGCAAATGGTAATATATTAATTGTTCATAACTGATCAATAAAACTCCACTTCAGAAGATCTAAATGATCCCTTTAAGAATATTTATGATCTCATGTTTGAGGACTGAGGTGCAGAAATTCATAATTGAAAAGGCTTGCTTTGAGATGTGGTTAGTTAGCTAGTTTTTTAGGTAGAACAATAGCTTAGCGGTTAGCATTGCTGCCTCACAGTAAGAAGGTCCTGGGTTTGCTCCCCGGTTTGGACGTCTTTCCGTGCAAAGTTTGCATGTTCTCTCTGTGCTTGCATGGAATTTCTCTGGGTAGGGCCTATTCCAGTTTCCGTCAACTGACAAAAAAAAAAAAAAGATGCACATTCCAGCCCAGCCATCCCTTGCAAAACAGATCCATGATCTTGAATTTGAAAAATAAAGGTAAATTTAAAAAAACGTTTAAATAATTTATGGTGCTTTGTTTCCGATACGCCAAACTGAAATTGCTCTGACTATTGTTTGCTGCAGGTAAGTCACTGGCTACTCAAAACCACTCCACAAAACCCCATTTCAACTGTTACTTTAAAGGGACATGGTAGAAGAGAAATTTTTACAAAGAAAGTGACTACATGACAAAGCTGCCACAATTTGTTTTAATATTCTGTTTTATACAATAAAGTACACACAAACTGCTCACAGAACAGTGGTGTCCTGAGTCAGTGAGGGACACAATCCCGCACATTGCGATGATCTTTAGCATGTCTTCAAGTTCTAAAGAAACCTGTTAATCGCTTATTCATTCAAATCAGGTGTTGAAGCAGAGAAAGATTTAAAACATGCAGGATTGCCATATCATAGGATCGTCCAAATAAAATAAAAAATATTGTTGTATTGTGCTCTTTGCCAGTGTATGATCTGATCTGTAGTATTCTTACAATAAAACACACCCTGGTATACCCACAGATTCAAATATCCACAATCTGTTACACACGCCTCAGCATGATGTCACAACATGTAGGCCGCTGAAGTCAGACGTTAGCTATGTGAGTGTGATATTCTGCCTCTTCACAGATGCCACCGTGCACCCACCTGCTTCTGACAAGCACCCGTACGAGAACCAGGACCCCGCCAGCATGCCTCCTGATGTGGGCTACGGCTGTAAGATGGTAAACGGTGTCATGCACATCTACACAACAAGGGCCATTATGGAAAAGTACGAAGCCTTTGACAGATCGTTTTGCATCTTCAACTTTAGACGTTGTCTCTCTTCAGACTTGGTTCACACACTTCATTGGCAGCGACCTCTTCTCTTTGTAACAGGAGCACAGAGCTGGACCTGCCGTACCCAGACCTGCAGGAGTACATTGCTGACATGAACGTCATGATGGCCCTCATTATTAACGGACCGGTGTAAGCTCCATTCATGAATACATTTTATGTTGTCTCGATTTTTGTTGGCGCATTAGCTTGTAGAAACAAAATGACAGACCAGTAGCTCGTCTGCGTTTGCTACAGAAAGTCCTTCTGCTACCGTCGGCTGCAGTATCTCAGCTCCAAATTTCAGATGCACATTTTGCTGAACGAAATGAAGGAGCTGGCGGCGCAGAAGAAAGTCCCGCATCGAGACTTTTATAATATTCGGAAGGTGAACATGAAAGCTTTGTATGCCTGGTCATTATCTCCAGTAATCCAAAGCCAAATCTTAATGCATGTATTTTGTTTTTATAGGTTGACACACACATTCACGCTTCGGCTTGCATGAACCAAAAGCACCTTCTACGTTTTATTAAAAGAGCCATGAAGAAGAATTCTAAGGAGATTGTGCACATGGACGGGGGCAAAGGTCAGACGCTCATGGAGGTATTTGAGAGTATGAACCTGACGGCCTTTGACCTAAGTGTTGACACTCTGGATATGCACGCTGTGAGTATCAACACCTTTAATCTAGTTAATAAACATAAATAAATGAGGACATGCACAGTATCACCAATAGAAGAGTCCATGTGTTTCCAATCATTTCCACAGGACCGTAACACATTCCATAGATTTGACAAATTCAACGCTAAATACAATCCCATCGGTGAATCCATCCTGAGAGAGATCTTTATTAAAACAGACAACTTCATTGAGGGGAAGTACTTCGGACACATAGTAAAGGTGCTTGCTCAATTACTAGCTTCTTTTAATGTGACTTTATTTTGGACTGTGTGGCACCCTCTAGTGACCATCCATTTCCTGTTGCTCAGGAGGTGATGGCTGACCTGGAGGAGAGCAAGTACCAGAACGTGGAGCTCAGGTTGTCCATCTACGGGCGCTCCAGGAACGAGTGGGACAAACTGGCCAAGTGGGCCGTCTCACATCAGGTCTACTCCGACAACGTGCGCTGGCTCATACAAGTGCCACGCCTCTTGTGAGTTCCAACAGTGGTGGAGTACATTTATACAAATATTAAACTCTTTTACTTTAGTATTCCTGTTTACTAAAGCATTATATGCTAATAATCCTTTTAAACACATTTGTTTCCACTCTTTCCTTAAAGTGATGTCTACCACACAAAAAGACAACTGTCCAACTTCCAGGAAATGTTGGAGAACGTCTTTATGCCTCTGTTTGAGGTTACTATCAACCCTGGAAGCCACCCGGAGCTGCACCTCTTCCTTCAACATGTACGTCTGCACTGAGTAGTTCTCTGATCCTTTTAGATCCTCCTCAGAAGTTCTCACAGATCTGCTCTTGGTTCTTCTTTCAGGTTGTTGGTTTTGACAGCGTGGACGATGAGTCGAAGCCAGAGCTGCACATCTTTAACATGGACAGCCCACTGCCGGCCAACTGGGCAGAAGAGGACAACCCGCCCTATTCGTACTACCTCTACTATATGTATGCAAACATGACTGTGTTGAATCATCTGCGTAGGTAAGTTAAACACACCTCAGTTAAAACCGCTGACATAATCTCTTTTTGCTTACGCCAGTAAGAAGGCCTCCCTAGTTTTTTACTTCAAAGACAATTTAAATTCTTTACTATATCGCTGTTTTTCTGTGTCAAAAGTGAATTAAATGTGTGTTTTAATTATTACAAGTTACAACCTAGAAAATACATTTTTTTCTTTTGTTTATCCTCTGTTTGATAGTGAGACACTGGAGAGCAGCAGTGGGTGTTCATTTATTCAGGTTATACCTTGTTTGGCTGAAAAACAACAACTAATGTCAGCGTCTTTTTGTTTCAGGCAGCGTGGGTTTAACACACTCGTTCTGCGTCCTCACTGTGGAGAGGCGGGGCCAATCCATCACCTGGTGTCTGGTTTTATGTTGTCAGAGAACATCTCCCATGGGCTGCTACTCAGAAAGGTGTTGAAAGATAACGAGTTCATTTACTCCGGCGTCAGTCGAAAACCAGGAAACAAGCCATGCTATTACCCACAGCTGGGCCAAAATACAGACTGTTTAGTGTCCTCAGTTTTGATAAGGAATCAGGAATCACAGCAGATTTTAAACAGTCTCTTCTGAACCCAGCCCCTCCTTTGGGCCAATGTGTCATATCTGTYGGGCTGAACTTCCTCCTCAGAGAATGGGTTCTACGACAGCTATTCTGATTTCTAAATGAGAAAAATAGTTAAGTGTTGTATGGTGAAGAYGTGTGCTTTCCAATTATATCAATTAAAAGCACATTCTGTTTGAGGTGAYCGTGACATAAGCCACCAAAAGCAGATTGCACTTCATTTTATCACAGTTTTATAAAAAAAATAGATAATTACTCAAATAGATTATCATAAAATAGCCTCTTGTTAAGCGATGCTACTTATTTTTTCTTTTTGATAAAATACCGTAGTTTTTCTTTCATGTTAAAGCATTCCACCTCTTCTCCTCTGCAGGCTCCTGTGCTGCAGTATCTGTACTACCTGGCTCAGATAGGTATCGCCATGTCTCCTCTCAGCAATAACAGCCTGTTCCTCAGCTACCATCGCAACCCTTTGCCAGAATATCTGTCCAGAGGACTCATGGTCTCTCTGTCCACAGACGACCCTCTGCAGTTTCACTTCACCAAGGTCAGACAACAAAAGTTTTAATCTGAAACTTTGTTTTATGGTCCACCCAATATAAAAATGCAGAACTCACACCAGGTTGACCAGAGTAGGGCCAACAGGAGGACACTGAATGTTACACTTATTGTTGTATGGGTGAGATATTAAAACGGCTCTATAGAGTGTAAACAAAATTAAAGGCACTGTGGGTGGGCAGAGTTGTAAAGTAACTAAGTACAAATACTTTCTTACTGTACTTAAGTAGAAATTTTGGTTATCTGTACTTTACTTGAGTAATTATATTTCAGTGTACTTTTTACTTTTACTCATTACATTTTTACACAATTATCTGTACTTTCTACTCCTTACAATTTTTAAAATGGTAAGAAGTAGAAAGTCGTTACTCCTATTTTATTCCGGATCGGTATTATTAAAAAAAAACTATACTGACAAATTGTTTCTCCTGGATAGAGTGAATTTAATTGTGATTGGATGAAAAGTATAAATATACACCATTCTGAAACCATATTACTTTGTACACAGTCCATCAAAGTGACACGCTGTTAGAAAAAAATGTTTTTTGAGGAATCACCTCCCAATATATGTCATTTTGGAAAATCTAACCGCTCACTTTTACTCAATACTTTTACCAATAATACTTAAGTAAATTTGGGGTCAGAAATTTACTTTTGATACTTCAGTACAAAAAATATCAGATAGTTTAAGACTTTTACTCAAGTAATATTCTTATACAAGACTTTAACTTTTACCGAAGTATTTTTATGATAAGATACTTGTACTGTACTTTTACTCAAGTATCACTTTGAGGTGCTTTATAAAACACTGTGGGTGGGTAAGAAACACTGAGGTGATCTGCAGAACCTGGAGAGGTTGCAAAGGCTATATTGTTAGGTTTGTAAGGTTAGACCCAGGGAGCAGGCAGGAACTCAAGGATCAAATGAGTAAATGACTTATTTGCAAAAAAAAAACAGTTGACAAGGCAGTAAAAAAACAGACTATAGACATAGAGGCGCACAGAGGACAAACCAAACTGGCGTGGGATGCACAATAAACTGACAGTGAAGTGGAGACAGGACACAATATCCAAGGGAGTTAACGAGTAGACAAYAGGAAACACCTGGGGAGAGACAAGGATCAGGTGCACATGGGAGGAGCTGGGGAAGAAMAGAGGCAGGGACACACAGTGGGAAAACAAAGAAACACTAGAAAGAAACCTATCAGAAGGAGAAATCAAACACACATCCTCACAATTTGCCATTTAACTGAAWATGTCTCTTGTGTTCAGGAGCCACTGATGGAGGAGTACAGCATCGCAGCTCAGGTGTGGAAACTGAGCTCCTGTGACATGTGTGAATTAGCCAGAAACAGTGTGCTAATGAGTGGATTCTCTCACAAGGTACTCATTCTTTTCAAAGCTCATTATGCTGCATATGAACCTGATTTAGCGACCAAACATTTGATCTCACTCTGACTCCTGCCTTTGACCAGGCAAAGAGTTACTGGCTTGGACCAAACTACATCAAAGAAGGACAGGAGAGCAACGACATCAGGCGCACCAACGTCCCTGACATCCGCGTGGCCTACCGCTACGAGACCATGTGCGAGGAGCTGAATCTAATCACGCAGGCCATTCGCACGGACGAGCTGGAGACCATCGAGGAGGAGGGGGCTCTGTGTATGGGAGCGGTGCAGGCAGAGAAGTGAATGTGCAGCACAACACAAACGGCTCACCACGGTCTCTGTTTTCACGTCAGGACATCAGCCATATTTGCACATGAACACCACACTTCTGAAAGGAGAAAAGCTTTTATTATGGGATCATTTTGAGAGGTGCTACAGAGATGACCCACACTCTGTACCTGGTGTTTTTATTCATTTAGTTTCAAATAATTAATTTTTCATACCGACTTCCCTGTGTCTSTTGAACGTTTGTATTTTTTACATTCTGTTACCATATTCTGTCAGTATTTCTATATCATTACTGCGGTTCCCACACCACATCTTGGCTAATATTTGCATTAAAAAATGATAATCATGCACTGGATTTGACATAAACTGATAAAAGAAACTAATTTTGAGAAAGAAGGATTAAGTACAAGGAGTGCAAGCACTGAGGTCCCTTTCCTGCAATTTAGAGACTTTATGAGTCAATTTAATAAAAAGATAAATTCAATTGCAGTAGGTTCATTACCCAACTGTTAAAACTTTATTTTAACTTAACACATTTTACTTTATTACTAATTTGCCTGTACAAGAATGTGCCAATTAAATAAATAAATAAATAAAAAATCTTTAATGTACAAATCTTTCAGGATCAATTCAAGCATGTTTATTTTATATCCCAAAAGAAAAAAACTGTCAGGTTTTTACACATTCCTAAAGATTCAGTATTACTTATCACAAATAATTCAGTATCGATGTAAAACTAAAACAAAATCTCATTTATTTATTAGGTTTGTTCAACTGTAAAACCTAATCCGRCCAACCAAAACCCAAAGGTTTATTTATTTATCTATTTATTTTCTTACATTTTCTTACATTTTTTGCTTGTTTCTAATAAAAATGACATAATAATATATTGCATTTCAGATTTGTTTTGGTTGTGACGTCACACATTTTCACTTTGTAGGAGTAGAAACATCACTCTTGTAGAAAATTGTACTTCAGAGAAAAACAGCCTTCATTTAAATAACGGACAAACCTGTTCCAGTATCAGGAACCTACTGCATATGTTAAATTTGAGAACCAATCAGATTTGTACAAAGAGAAATTCTTGGAACTCAGTTGATATTTTGCATCTTCAAAATATATTAATTTACTTACATTTTTTATTTCAAAATTGCATCTTTATGCAATAAATTTTTTGACTCAGTTATAAAAGAGAGAAAACACAATTCTGTCACAAAATTTTAGCCAAATGATGGCTTTAAATGTTGCAGAATGTTTTTTAAAACAATCCTGGGGGAGAATCAGTTTCATGTGTTACAGGGAGGGTTAGGGTTGGGATGAACACTGGCGTCAGCACTGCTCTGGGTCCGGCTCTATCATTTAACAGATAAGCAGGTAAATGTGTAATGTGTGTAAAAGTAAATGTGGGCTCGCAGTCAAAATACAATCTTTTATTACTGTGACTTATGTTTGATTTACAGCAGGAAAAAAAATAAATTCTTAGCAATTTTGCTATTTTTTATGTGTTTTTCAGTTTTGACAGTGATTCAGTGAGGTTGCATGAGGGCACGTTAATATTTGCTTGTTGTGTGCAGCGATACACATGGCGTTGTGTGGTATCATACTAACTTTCTGACATTATTCTTTACATTGCAGATTTAAACTCTTCAGCATGTGTCATTGGCTGACATATAAAAAAAGACAGGCTTGAGTCTATGAATAGTGCATGATGACTTCTTCCTTCAACTTTTACTCCTTGCACAATTCAATAAGTCACAAATCCAAAAATAAACGATACCTTACACGGTTGGGCTCTTTTGAAACTCTTCCTTTTGCTAAAGGTCCTGGTGTTGTTAAAAGGGCTGCTTCTGTTTAATGTTCAGACGCACTGTGCTCTAACAAATGTATGAGATGTTTGTGAAATATTATTTATTGTCATTTGTGTCTGTTAAAAATAAAAATATATTCATGTTACAGTGCTCTTTTTCAACCCATTTATTAAATCATTAAAAAGAAAAAACTATTCTGATGTTGAAAAACGTGCTCGTGTAGGTTTGGCTTAAAAATACAAAAGGTGAATAAATTGACAAAATAACAGCATCAGGCCAAACTTACAGGAGATGAACAGTATCTGAAAGTTAAATGTTGATAAAAGGGGAACAAAAACCAAGCGTACCATTGTTCAGTTGGTCGTATTTTTAATATTGACTCTTTTGGAGCCACCTTCACTCACTAACATACTGTTTTTAGTATCCAACTCTCTTATCTTTGGCGTTTATCACATTCAACAAAAGAAACTTGAACCAACTTGTTTTTGTGACAGGCTGTTTGTAATGTGAACCAAAAGATCCAATAGAGATTGGTTTTTTCCAGTTGTTTTTTATGTTTACAGTTTTTAAGCTTAGGATTTTTAATGCCTAAATGATTTATAAGTCAAAATAAAATAACTTAAAAATAAAATAAATCAGTGATAAAGCAGTCAAAATCCAGTATTTGGGGAACTAAAAGTCAGAGACTAGCTCATAATTTCAGTTTATGAATAGAGTTGTATGAGAGCATTATAAATGGTTTCTTCTGGAAAGTTGTACGTGTTTCAAAAAGAAAAAATAAGTAGGTCCTCTGGACGAACATTTCTTTAAAAAGTTCTCTCATTTATTTATCATAAATTACAGAATTATTATTTGGAAACAAGTGACAAAGTGAATCATGCTAACAATAGGTCTTACCGGTACATCCTGTTTGTGAATTTTGGGTAAACCATACAGACAAGGAGCGGCCTCACCTGGGTACAGTCTGTGATACAGAATGTGGTCAATAACCTTGTCCTGCTCTAACCTTTTTTAAATGTGTTTCTGCAAATTGCATCTGTAAACAATAAATAATAGTAGTTGAAAAATGACTTTCTCTTTCATATGAAAATACAGACTGATGCTCATAATAAATTTCATCAGTAAATAAGAACAAATAATAATGTTTATCTATAAATAATGCCTCTTTTAAGTTAGCACTTGATAATTACAAGGGGTTTGTGGGAGTGTGTGCATGAGTGAGTAAAGTGTGTAAAACAAAGACAGCTTTGTTCAGTATGCGTGTATTTGGTCCATTAGTCACTAATGTGGGTCAAAGTGAAAGTTCAAGAGGAAATTTAGATAAACATCACATCAGGAAGTTAGAGAATTCAGCACTGCTTGCATAAAAACGCAACAATAAACCAAACCTGTAGCTCAAATGCAATTAATTGCATATAATTTAAAAACAACTGGACTCATATCACCTGCCCTCAAAAGGTAAATGTCTTTTCCCATGTCCGTGTTGGTTTATATGTGGTGTTAGCAAAATATTTCAGGAACCACAGGATGAATTTTACTTAAACTCTTCAAAAGTAATTGTTCAATGTATAAGTACAAGTAAATTAATTTTAGATGTCACCTACTGGTAAGCAACATTAGCAAACACAAAAATGGCTATAATTCAGTAAATTGAACAGATATTCAGCTAAAATTTCGTGTGGTAGTAGCTGAGACTCAACGCAAACAAATCATCTTACAATATGAGACAGGGTGTGTGATAGAACTAATACTTTTATGTTTAAGCTAGTAATTCATGACATCCTTTAATGATCTAGGTTTTCATGACATGCTGTTCATCTGCAGAYAGAATGATTAAAGTCAGAACAAGATTTGCTAACCACAGTCATTCTTAGAYATCACTTGTGTTTATCTTTGTGTTTTCCATTGACCTTGTATCAAATCTTGCTAAGATGACAGAATGGTGTTTGTTAATATGAGGCCTCTCGAGACACAGTGTTCAACAGTGAGTAGTGTGTAGAGACAGTGACAGAGAAGCAGAGGTACAGAGACAGGGCAGGTTGTTCTCTGTGTTTCCTGTTGTTGCAATAAAACTCAGCTGATCATCTCACGGAGTACCTTCTTTCTTGGACCACTTATTTCTGTCTTTGTTAAATAAATATTACCATAACAGGGTGCTTTCAAGGAAAGTTGGGCCTTTGTTTGCTTGTAGAATTGTAATAATGTACCTTACATAATTATTTGGTGGACAAAAGTAATACTTGTCTTACATGTTCGCTTTAAAGAAACCTAACAGCCCTATCATGTTTGTGAAGAGAATTGTTTTTCTTTTTTTTTTCCTCGCACAAAACTCTCCAGTTAGTATTACTCAGAGCCCTATAGAGAGCTTTATAGGGCTCTGGTGTTACTCCTTTGTGTGTACAAGTCTGGACCAATCATGGGGTTCACACAGCAAAGCCTGCATGAAGGATAGTCTGACAAGGTTTTCATAGAAAATTCCAGACTTGCAACTTTGTGGTTTGGTAGCACAACAATCCTGGGTGCAGTTAGTGTATTCATGTGCAAATACCATGCAGATCCACGTGCAGATCTGCCCGTGAATCAGGTTATGAACAACAATAATTAGCTGCCCGGTGGTGACTGACCCCGCCCACTTTCTCCTCTATTCAGCCCTCTGCTCTGCCCGCCTCCTCTCCACTTCCGTCCAGCGCTTTGTTCGCAGGAGACGCTTCTCTCTTTCATCAAATCTCTTAGAAGTGAATCAAAAATGGCCATGACACTTGGTTACTGGGACATCCGCGGGGTAAGTTACCTCTCGGTGTTGTTGATGAAGTTTGCAGCAGCGTGGAGGTTTTATATGAAACGTAAGCTCTGTGTTTTACTCTTCGCCCGCTTTAAAACTCCTTCGCGGTTTACTTCGGGTTAAACAGCACGACACCGCCGTGTTTAGCTGCACGCTWAAAAGAAAAAGAAAAAAACTCGCTGCGGCTAGTGTTGCGTTCGGATTAAACAAACTGAAGCGGTTATCTGATTGACGTGTTTTCGAAACCTGTTTATCGCGACATAATCAGGAGAGTTTCATGGCCTAAATGTTGCAAAGCTGGCACCGAGCTCATGTGTTTTTCACAGATTAGGTTAGCCCGTGTTTTATCCATCAACCGCCGCTAAAACCGGTTTAACAACTTGTGCAAACCCCTATGTACCTGCTTCACTTGACACTGGTTAAACACTGGGTTTAACGTCGAGTCCGGTGATGCAAGATCAAGTCTAGTCTGGTTCATGAACTTCACAAGTCACCAGAACCTAAAGGTGACGTGAAATAAAATGATTTATTTGAAAAACTTTAGCACCTGTAATGTATTTGCTTTCAATTTGCAGAAGCATTTCCAGATTTACAGACGTCACGTAAACGCCTCATTTTTCAGACATTTGAAATGGTAGATTTTGCCTAATCATCATTTTTCGAAAACACTACTCCCATTCTTTAGCAGTAAAGTATTGCTTTGACTCCACAAATAAAAAGCAATTGTTCAAGTTTGGTTGTCAGTTTTCAAGAAATCTTTCTGAAAACCTGTTGTGTTTTGTCCAATACTTCACAGTAGGGCTGCCACAAACGATTATTTTTATAATCGATTAATCACCGATTATTTTTTCGATTAGTCGACTAATCGGATCATACGTTAATTGAATATAAAACATATAGCTTATCGTGCCAGAATGCAGTTGCTTTTACAGTATATAACCATCGTTAGATTTTAGCTATATGCTAACTAAAAATAATTGCTGTGGAAGGCAAGTTCTGCTCTGCAGATATTRCACAGGTTTCTCTTTCATTTTCTTAAAATGATCCCACCCTTTTGAGCTCTGTTGTCAGGTAGCCATGATACCAGAGCCTGTCTGTATAATGTCATGTGACGTCCACGGCCTACCCCAGTTACCACTACTGTGCATGTGTGTCAAGGACAGAAAGGCAGATGTGGCAGTGGAAGGTGTCAAAGCAGTTTGGAGAGAAAAACACAGTAAAGAACAAAAAAACAAAACAAGAGAAAACGATTAATCGATTATTAAATTAGTCATTGATTATTTTAATAATCGATAAGTCGTCGACTAATCGTGGCAGCCCTAMTTCACAGCCMGTTCTTATTTGGACATCAGATCTCAAAAAAGTTGTACTGAAAACACAAGTTAGATTTATCTCAATATATTTTTAAACAAACCTTTGAACTTGGTCAAATTAAAGCATGTGAAACTCTTGAAAATATCTGAGATGAGCAAAAACCATGCAAATGTTGTCTTTTTTTTTAATTATCAATGTTTTTGTTCCTATTTGTGTGTTTTTGTAAACGCTTGCACCAATTTTAAGAAAGATTTCAGGAGGTAGTGGACATTAGCCAACATATAAATGGCTATAATTTAGTGAATTTTACAAACATTTAGCTAAAACTTGACAGAGTAGCTGAGTCATTCACAGCATACTCTTTGTGAGACATTTTGAAATATTTCATGAGATCATAAATAACATTATTTTTAAGGACTGACTGAGTGACGGACTCTTCAGTACCAGTCCTACTATTTATCTGAAACTCAGTAAATCACAGATTCCCAGAGTTTAACATTAAACCAACCTTTCTTTTTCTGAACTGTTGCAGCTTGCCCAGCCCATCCGCTTGCTGCTGGAGTACACCGACACCAAATACGAGGAAAAGTTATACTCCTGTGGTGAAGGTAATTACTGTTTACAACTATCAGATGAATAAATGTTTATCTAAAAAGGTAATTAAAGCTGGTTCATAWAATCCTCTTTTGTCTGTCGCAGCTCCAGACTATGACAAGACCTGCTGGATTAATGAAAAGGATAAACTGGGAATAAACTTTGTCAATGTAAGAGTTTTCTTTGTGCATATTAATGTCTCAGATAGTCCAAAGTTGTTTTTTTTAAATAATAAATATTCTTAACACTTCAGCTGCCCTATCTTTTGGATGGAGACAGGAAGATTGTGCAGAGCAATGCTATCATGAGATACATCGCTCGTAAGCACAATATGTGTAAGTACTGTAATTATATTAACATGTCAGAATCCAAATGACTGCAGTCTCACAGCTTCTCTTTCTGCTCTGTGAACTGATCTGGTGACAGGTGGAGAAACGGAGGACGAAAAGGTCCGAGTGGACATCTTGGAGAATCAGGCAATGGACTTCAGAAATGGCTTCGTGATGATGTGCTACACTGACCTTGTGAGTATTTACTGGTGCAAAAATTTAAAGGCACAGTGTGTAGGATTTTGTCAATTCTTTTAGCCTAAATTGAGATAATCACTAATGATAATAATAAAAAAACATGTCTAATCATTGCAGACAAAGACCTTGCTTTATTATTTTTACCTTATAAAAAGCTGTTTATATCTCCATGGTCGCGGGTCTCCCTACAGGCAGCCGCCATCTTGCACCGCCATCTTGTCTACGAAGGCTCATGAAGGACAAACTGCGGTGGCGGCGTCAAAAACGGTTTTAGTTGTAATACTATAAATGTAATATTTGTTGTCTGTCATTGTAGCTGGGATAATTTTACTTATTAAAGCTCATAATCTTACCACTTGAAACATCACTAGCTCTGAAGCTGCTGGTAGACATCATGGTTGGAATTTATCAAAGGTTTTTGACACCTGAGAGACACCGTAGCAACTCCTTTGCATTTGGAAGGAGGTACACTTCGCTGCAGCATGCAGAATGGGGCGGGGACGGACCTTTCCGTCAGTCCCATACCTTATATGGAAATGGGACTATTGCATTCCGGAAAATGAAGGTTGCTCCTTAAAGACGCGGGATTAAGAGAGCAAAGGAAGAAGAAAGGAAGAAGTTAGAGAGTTTCTTCTACTCACGTTGAAGTACTCAGAGCATTATTTATTAATTTCTTTTATCCACCTCCCCAAACACAGACCCTCAGGTTAACCTCACAGGCCTAATGCCTAAGGTTAGTTTGTTACTGTAATATAATTTTAATATCCAAAAACAACAAAGATTTAATAAAGATTTGAAAATGAAAAAGGGACACACCACGTGACATAACACGTTTTGTAGCCATTTCCTTACTGTAAAATTTGTATTGTTAATGTTGAACGTGTTCGATAGAAAATAGTGTCACTAGCGCCCCCTTCATGTTCGGAATGCAATAGTCCCATTTCCATATAAGGTATGGGACTGACGGAAAGGTCCGTCACCGCCCCGTTCTGCATGCTGCAGCGAAGTGTACTTGTTTGGAAGTGGGGGGTGGGACCAGGGAGGATGATTCAACCACCCAACCACTAGATGTCGCTGAAAACAACAAATCCTACACACTGTGCCTTTAACGTCACATTATGCACCCAGATCTCCACTAATGCTTGTCTCACCTCTCTGAAATCAGGACAACAAAAAGCCAGGGTACCTGAAGAATCTGCCAGGTGTACTGAAGCAGTTCTCTGATTTCTTGGGAGGCATGAAGTGGTTTGCTGGTGACAAGGTAATCTGAGCTTCTACTTAAACAGCATATAGCTGAATTAATTTCCAATTAGGACAAAAAAATCTTAAATGCATTTAATTTAAAATTATAAGCAATTTGCTTGTTTCTAGTGGAAAAACTTAAACTCTTTGTTGCATGGTGTCACCAGCAGGTGGCAGTATAAGCTATGTTGTACATGGCTAACTAAAATAAAAACCTGAAGACAAAACAAACCTTCCTTGATCATACAACTCCTGATAATGGTTTTAATGGTTTGATCAGTTTAAACCTATAAACAAGTCAGAAAAAAGCCTTTCTTATAAATCACAGAACAGAGATAAGTATAAGAAACACTTCATCAGCACTCATTCAACCTTTGACCCTTTTTAATGAAAACACTTCAGCCATACATTAGGGTAGGATATTTTTGACAAAACTAAATGCTCATTTCAGATTTTTGTACAAAAATAATCTGCTATGAACCTGATAAGTGTTTTGTTTCATTTTCCTCAGTTTGATTATGCATTTCTTAACAGATCACTTTTGTGGACTTCATCATGTACGAGCTTTTCGATCAACACAGGATGTTTCATCCTTCGTGCTTTGATGATTTCCAGAACTTGAAAGACTTTATGGACCGTTTTGAGGTGAGAACACTTATCTTCYAGCTGCACATCTTTTTATTCATCACTTACAGTGGCAGAAATGTAAGGCAGTATTTGTAGCAGAACCTTGTCTGTGTGAGGTACTGTGTTTCTTTTAACGATTAATGCAAATAATTTAATTTCTACATTTTTTTATACATAGAACCTGGATAAGATTGCTGCCTACATGAAGTCTGACAGATTCATAAAGACTCCTGTCAACAACAAGATGGCTAAATGGGGAAACAAAAAGGAGTGAGTCGACTATTTGCCTCTGGAAGAACAGCCTTAAGTTCCACAAGTTCCTTAAGTTCCACTTGCTAAGAATCAGCACATTCAGTACAAGAAATTTCACAATTTGCCTTTAAGTAGTGAAACCTTGTTGCTTGTGTAAGCTTCATGTCCTGTAACCTCAGCAATTTACCATTTCTACAAACATTTACTAACATTTGCAAAAAAAAAAGAAATAACTTTGTACTGTTTATGAACCTTTTTGATGTGAAACGTTTATTTTCAGTTAAAACATCTATAACCATTATTTCTGACAGATTAAATTGAATCTTGTACTGACTTTGTCTTGAGTTCTGAATTTACATGAACATTTTCTACCACAAAATACATCATAAAGTTATAGATTTAAAGAAAAAAGGTTAATACAGCAGAAAGTACCACTTTTTTAAACAAATGCATGTACGACTCGAGTTTAATGGGGAAGTAGACCCAAGTGCATCAATCAACATATGGGACTACATTAAATAAGAAAAAGATGTAACGGTGTAAAATTTGAGCAGCTGATCACTTCTGCTGAACGTAGAAATGGCGCCGGTTTGAGTAGAGTTCATGCAGAGAGCAGCAGGTTCTCATTAGTTCCACGTCAGTAGCGTCCGTTGTACATGCCTGGAGGTTCATTGGCCAGCTGCAGAGAAGGTGAAACATACCATACCACTTTATTTCTAAAGCACTTAAAAAACAACATAGCAGCTGACCGAAGTGCTGTACAAATTTATAGAATAAAACATAAAAAATAAAATGACAATATAAAGATCACAGATACCAAAAAAAAGTACAAAATTAAGACAAAGATGCTAAATCACTCTGGGTTAAAAGCCAAAGAGAAGAAATGTGTTTTTAAGCGAGTTTTAAAAACAAAGAGTTGGGGCCTGCCTGACCTTCAGTGGCAGCTCATTMCATAATTTAGGAGCCGCCAGAGCTACAAAGGCTCTGTCTCTGGATTTGTAAAGGGTATTTGGGATTAAAAGGTTCTGGTCAGGTGATCTAAGAACACGTGAAATACGGGTGAAGCAGTTCAGACAAATAAGAAGGGCTAAGACCATTAAGAGACTTAAAAACAAACAAAATAACTTTAAAATGGATTCTAAACTGAACAGGTAGCCAATGAAGAGAAGTCAAAACTGGAGTTATATGCTCTCGTTTACCTACGTCAGTTAAAAATCGTGCAGCAGCATTTTGCACCAGCTGCAAATGTGAGAGAGAAGCCTGGCTAATTCCAATTAAGAGAGGTACAGTAATCCAGACGTGAGGTGATAAAAGCATGGATCACTGTCTAAATGTTGCCTAGACAGAAAAGGTTTGATTTTTTGACAAACGTCTCAACTGAAAAAAGGAAGACCTAACCACAGAGTTGACCTGACTGTCAAGTTTCAGGCTAGGGTCCATTTTCACCCCCAAGTTTGTTACATAAAGTTTTTCAAAAGGGGCCAAGAAGGAATAATCAAAGGTGGGAACACAGCTAGGACCACCAGACTTAATAATCATAAACTCGGTCTTTTTATGATTAAAATGTAGAAAATTCAGAGCCATCCAACTCCTGATGTCATCAAGATAGTCAAGGAGAGACTGAGTGGAGCCATTATGTTTAAGCAGAAAATAGACTTGACAATCATCTGCATACAAATGAAATTGTACACCATGCTTTCTAAAAATGGAACCCAAGGGAAGAAGATAAAGTGAAAATAATATTGGGCCAAGAATAGAACCCTGGGGTACTCCCCAGGGAAGGGTGGCAGAAGAAGAAGTGAAATCATCTATCATCACACTGAAGCTCCTATCAGACAGATAGGACCTAAACCATTGAAGAGCTGAAGAACATTTAATTGATGGAGTTTGTTTTATGCATAGAAGTGAGAGCTGACGTGCACGACTTACCGCGAGTGATGACTTGACACTCTGAAGGTTGAAGAAAACCTTGCCAGCCTCCTCTGGGCACACAGTCCTGATGTCTTCTTTGGACATCCCCAAAAGCTGTTTCCCACTTAAAACCCCGAGGCTGGAGATGGTGCTGTTCAGAAAAAAAAAAATCTAATTTTACCAACAAAATTCACAAAAAGCAGGTTGAATAAACAAAGATACTCACATTCTAGAGAAACCTTTGTAGTCGAGCCATGCCTTCACCTCAGCAGGACTGGAGCTCATGTTCAGAGTCACGGGGCCACCACGGCTGTCCCACTGAGAGGCAGAGTGAAGGGAAATAAAACAAAAATGAAATCTAACAAGGCAAGTCCTTGAGCAGGGTTAGATCTCTCTTGGCTCACCTGTTGATCCTGCGTGGATCCATCATTGTCAACCCGCTCCAAAACATTCGGAGGAACGTTCCCTTCCTCGTTTCGGGAGTTGCGCACGAGCCACCATGGCCTGGATTTCTGAACCACCTGTGGGAAGAGTGTGAGGGCTGATGTTTTAAACTATTATAGATACAAATAAAACACCTTACATTCCCTGAAGTTAATGCTAAAGTTTTAAGCAAAGGTCTCACACAGCGGGGAACACTTGAAGTCTGTTGTGGATGACTGTTAGCTACGACCACACAGAATTTCAGCCCGATACGTTTGAATTAAAGCCATTTTTGTGTTCCCTTAAAGAGTCGGTGACATGTCTGTCCTTTAAAGTCAAAGAAAACATCTTTATATTTAAGGAACTTGGCATAATACACAAAATTTTAGCCATTTTGTCACATAACTGCTTTATTTTCTTGTGAATTTGGCTCAACCAAAGGGAAACAGGAAGTGACATCAACAAGGAACTCTTTAAGAAAAAGAACTCTGTGGTCATTTGTTCATTGAAATAATAATATTTGAACTCTGACTCAAAATCTAAAGAAACATMAGCWTCTTTTTCTCAGTCTGCACTCTGTTCAAGTGCAGAAATACTTCTTTGACATCACTTCCTGTTACTTCAAATGTGAACATCTCAACAACTGTTTATCTCAGCAGCATATTTTCATTTTTGCAATATGTTATCTTTCCAAAAACTTTAAATCAGTTGGCTGAACAGACTTGATTTCACAGAGAAAATTCCTAAACTAAATCCTATAGATTAAAAATAAGGCTGGATGCTCTCTGGTGCTGCTCTAGAGCATTTTAGATGTTCAGTTTTGATGTTTTCTGCCTTTTACGAATGATATGCTTTTAAAATAAATCCTGCTGAAAAGTCTCACATTGTGGTGTTTCGTATGACAGATGGTCATCTGCTCACCTGGACCACCTCATCCTTCATAACGCTTAGCTCTTGGCTGTTCCTGGCCATGAAGTTGTATATGACACGCATGTACAGTGGTGGCTCTGTGGGGCTGAAACAGCAGCAGATAGGACACTTAGTGAAAACGTAGCATGATATGAGGCGTGCAGAAATGTGCCATGATCCTGCAGCTGTTTATGCCTCTGATAAAAGCTTACCGCATCGGTAGAGGTGGACTCCAGTGATCATTGGCCGCAGGCTGTAAAAGGCACAAAGTACATCATGATAAAAGTGAAGATACACCTCTTAGTGATATGTCACAGGACACATATTTCCCCTCTTGTAGCAATAATTACCACAGCGACTACCAATTAAAAATAGACGTGTTTTCAGGAGCGATAGTTGAATCAACGGCTCCATGGTTTGGATCATTATCTGGCATGTTGGGAAACAGCCAAAAACAGCTGCAGGAGTTGTTTTGTGCAGCAAGTTTCTGCTTGTAGCTCCCAAATGTTTTAGCTTTCCACTCATAAAATGAAGTCACAGGACTTTTGACCCCAGCTATACAAACTATAAAGATTGCAGCACTTTGTGTTTTAAACTAAATGACAACCAAAACCTGCACACGTATACAGCGGGTAAAATAAGTATTGAACACGTCACCATTTTTCTCAGTAAATATATTACTAGAGGTGCTAATGACATGAAATTTTCACCA